GTCATGTTTTTGGTCGGTGGGAGGAAGACGGAGTACCCGGAGAGAACATGCAAACTCTACCCAGAACAAAACTTATGACCCCAATTTAGCTCCACACTACGAGAACTAAGGAGAGGAAATACGATTCATTATCAAACAAAAAGTGTTACATGAACAGATTTGATGTTGTCAAACAAAACTAAGAAAGAAAAAAGGTTAGTGTTACATTTCTAACTTTATCTAAAAGGTGACTTACTTACTTAGGTGATTAAACTCCAAAAGTATAGAATAAAACCAGAAAACCACAGAAGGGGAATAAGTAAAAAAAATGTACAAAGTAGATTATACTATATACCAAGTATATTAAATTAAAGTTGCTGTTTTACTACAGCATTTGGCACCTTTTATGGCTTTTTACATTTTTCTACACTCAGGAACGTTTTTTGTTCCAACATTTTTATCCTCTACAGTTTGCAAAAATGTTACATCTTGACATGAACTGTCACCTGGGGTGTTGAACGTCTGTCATCTTGGTATTTTCTCCAAATTCTTTCTTCAGGAAATCCTCCAGCGGTGCAGATTCATAAGGTCTGGAGCCTTTGAATACCTGCTCTTTCATCCTAAAGTACAGGCAGCGCAAATACTCCATATTCTTACCTGAACACAAAGGAAATGGTAAAGCTTTGAAAGCTGGTTAAGAAAAACAGTAATAAAAACAATGAGACATTAAAAAAAAAAACACACATACTGTGTATGATGGCAAGGGCAAGGATGCCCCCCGTGCTCGTGCCAGCGATCCAGTCAAAGAGCTCTTTGGTGGGTCGTCCCGCCTCTTTCTCCAGCGCAATCAGCATCTGGATCAGCACCAGGCCTTTAATCCCTCCACCATCCAGACACAGGAGTCTGTCCATCCTTCAGGACAGGAGACAGAAAAATACACATACTGAAAATGTATTTTTGTGTTTCAGACATTTTTACATTATCCAGACCAACAAAAATCCTTGAAAATGTCAATGTGTTCAAATCACTGGTTTGAGAAGAGAATAAAAAAAGAAATTTAAATATCTTTATATTAAAGCCATTTCTTCAAAGAAAGTCTGCATCCTTACTTKTCTCTCTCCACTTTGGGACCATCARTTTCAGACCTTCCTCTGTTCATTGCACTTATTGCAGCTCCTGCATACATGAGGTCATCAAACCCTGCAAGCAAACACATTTCATCAAAATCTTGCATCAAAGAAATAAAAGAAGGAAAGAGGCTGCTCAGTTTCTCCAAAACACATGCATGTTTTACAAAGAGTCTAAGTGTTGTTTCATTGTTTGGAAAAGAAACATGATTTATTTATTCATTCAAACGTTTGGGAGCATGGTCATAATGCAATAC